CTTAACCACGCTAGGAAATTAAAAATTACAAATTTTTATGGAAAATCAATAGCTTAGATTAAACTTATTTATAATTTGAAAATGATATAGTTAGAATATCATGTTACATTATAATTTTACAATTATAATATATTATTATATAGTTAATTTTTTTAAAAATTTATATATAATATTATATACCTCAATTTATTTAATAATAAGCGATGATCTGTAACCTTGTGTACGCAGCAGCTTTCGTTGGGAGACCCATCCACCATTCTGGTGCGCCACAACTGGTCGAGTCCGGAGTAGTCGGGACGAAACCCCGGATACCGGGCGGGAAACCAAAAAAAAAAAAAATAAGCGATGATCCGTAAGTTAATTAAAAAGTGATCTTGTTTCCATTCTAAGACTAGGCACATAAAATTAGTCCTAAATCTTGGGCCGAAACTACGCCCAAATCTTAAATTGAGCGGGCCAAAGTTTTAGGCTTTTGGCCAAGGGAAGGCCCAAATATATAACACATGCAATTGCACACAGCCTTGTAACTTGCACTGTCGGGTTTGTGCTTTGTGGAGTGGGGATGATTTTTTCAGTCCATCAAGGGGGAAGTTACAAAAGGAAATGAGACGGAAAGATTTGATTTTGAAGCTCAAGTCGAGAAATTTCTCTTAGCATCCTCTCCATTTTTAGGTTTTTCTTGAAACCTAGAAGTAATAGCTTTGGCTAGTTTACTGTTAGGGGTGTCTCAAACTCAAACCTTAGTTCCCATTCTCTTCTCTTCTTCCTTGCCAATTCAAAGAACCATTTTTCTTTTGGTTAAAATTAGAGGGAAAAAAAATGTAATCTTTTCATATGGGTTTTGTATGAATTTTGAACCAATTGGGAATTTTGATGTAGAAAATCCGTCATAATTTCTGGGTTTGATATGGGTAATGAATTGGTTTATCTTTTATGGTGCAGGAGATGGGATTGTGGACACTATTGGAGGGCTTTCTTCTTTTGGCCAATGCTTTAGCAATATTGAATGAAGATCGTTTTCTTGCACGCAGAGGATGGAGCTTTTCAGAATTCTCAGCTGGTCGAACAAAGTCTTTTAAAGGGCAGCTTATTGGTCTGATTTATGCCACGTAGTACATGAGGGTTCCCTCTCATACTACTCAACGTCATCTACATTGTCGTAAAGTTGGTTTCTGGTTGATGCTACACAAGGTATGAATATGATATTCAAACAGAAGATATAAGCTTATGTCTATAGACTATTTCCCTTCCTTGATGTTATGAATAGGCTGTATTTAAGCATATGCTACGTATCCATTCCTTTTGGGGTGAGATTTTGTTTTGAAAGTTTGAATGTTAATGTCGATGGATATTATTGTAATTGAAAATGTAGTTATTTTGTGATTGTGAAACATAAATACATTGGCTCAAAGTTTTTCCTACTTTGATTACATAGTTTAGTTTGTATAATGTATAATGAATTAGTTTATAACTTGTAATTTTGTATAATGTGCTATTCTAAAGAGTACCATAACATAAGCGACCTAGTAGTTACAAGGAAGATTAAGAAATATAGTTTTGTGAAACCTAACTAACTTTTTCTATCGTTTAATCTAGTAACTATTATATTCATTTTGTAATCCAGTTACCCAAGCTTGACGATGACCGGTGGTTCAACTTGCTCAACATGAGGTGAAAAAATTGCTGATCGTTGAGCCTTAGCCATAATTTTCTATGTACAGTAGTGTCTTGTTGTTTCATCCTTAATAGCTTGTTATGTTGTGTGGTTTTAGAGCTTGAACCATATGTGTTGTAGAATTCCTTAGTTTTGCGCTTGAGCTAGATATGTTACAGAATTCTTGAATTTCAACTCAACTTTGGCCCCTTCGGTGCATCAGATTTGTCACAGATGCAACCTGGATATGGATTTGCATAGAAATTCTCTTCTGATTTTCGGGAAATTCCAGGCAACCTAGGATATGGTCCTCCTATCCTGTTAGCATGTAAGAGCCTCACTTTTGACGAAAACTCTTCCCAAGTCATTGAACCTTTGTCCCACTGGTCAATCAACCTTACAAAATTTGCTCTGCAGCAAACAAGAAAAATGAATGGTATGATAGTTTAAGCACAAAACTTTCAAATTGAAGGTCTTGAGAAATTATTTACATACTTGTCAGGACTAATGGTTTTTCTAAAACCTTCATATCTTCTATGGCCCTGAGCTGCTTTTGCCATGTTACCATCATAGGTGTAAATAAAAACGTCACTCTCTACTGCTACCATGTTGTCCACAGCTGCAAGCTGATTCTGGTGACCTAGGAAAGGTTTCAATTCCTCCTTTGTTGCCAGATTAGAATGGGTGAATATATTTGGGTATCTAGCTTCAAGAGGCTTAATTCCATCTTTGCCATAAATTTTCCCTGCTACTATGTAAATTTTGGTATCAAAAGGGTATCCCATTGCCTCAAGAAACACTGCAACTTCTCTTGGAGTCATGGGGCACATGCCTTGGCGCCGCCTCTCCTCCCCGTCAATCTTTTTCTCCTTCCAATGCTGAGTATTGTATCTCATCTTCCTTAGCTCACTATCCTCTTCTTTGGTGAGATTGTGACTGCAGCCTGTAAAAGCAAGCATGTCCTTCTCATACCTACATTCATAATGCATTAGTTTAGTGATTAAAGAAAGGATATACTTGAGACCTTTGAAAGTCCAAGGCTTATGTACCTGTACCCCTCTCCCCAAGTTTAATTGTAGCAAGCATAGCATATATATACATACATACATACATACATACCTTAAATGAAGAGCAAGAAATGGGGTGCCATTGTTTCTAAGTCTCTGGATCAATGTCTTGGCGAACTTTTGTATATGATCTTGGAATTTGAGTCCTTCATACATTGCAAGGCAGCGGAGTTTTTGGATGTTATTGTGAAGATTATTGTTAGCTAGACGAGAATCGGTATGTGTAAAGTTGACAACCATATGCTTCTTTAACAAATTAGCCATATGTACTCTGTAATAAGTAGCCTGCATAAGATTAATTAGCCAGTTACCATCTACAACTGAACTTATATGTAATGTTTGGTTTCCCAAAAATAAAATAAACAGAAGAAATGTACAAAGCGGAGTGGTATAAATGTGTACCTTAGACCAAGATACTGGGGTCTTTTTTAGGGGTTTAATTGATTTGAATTCCGGTGGGAGTTGTTCTGCAACTTTGACCTCATGTTTCAATACTTCTATGAAATGCTTCCAATCAAATATAGCTTTGAAATCACTACACAAATCAAAATCAAAGTTAGGTGTAAATGATTGCGATTTTCTTTTATAAATGATCAAATTAAGTAAACCAAAAAGAGGAATGTAAACGAAATGAACCAATTAACCTCTTGTCTGTCCAATAGGAGCTATGATCTAGGCGAGGAAGAACCAAAGTAGCATTCATCATTTTTGCTATGGCAACCATGTCACTTATCTGTTCACAGGTTAATGTAGCAGAAAGTAACCACTAAGTAATTAAACTAACTTTGGAGAAAAGAGAAAAACAGAGGATAGTAAAAGAAGGAACATGATTCACATGTTGAAAAAAAGCAAGGCCGAATTCAGCCAGGAAGAAAGTTTTCGAGTCATCGATCATGTGGGAACATGTAAGACTCACACAACGTAAAAAATTCTGGCTAAATTCGACCCTCATAATATTCAGCTTGCATATCATTTCACTTACTCCGGTTTTCATTTGATTTAGGCCTCCATTGGCATTGACAATGAGATATCCGTTAGTGTGGGAAACAATGCCTAAAAAGAAATGAATCAACAGATTAAAAGATTGGAAAAGAGGGGGAAAAAAAACGACTCAATTGGTGAAATTAAATGAAACAATATATTTACTCGAATCATTCCTGGAAGAGTGCATGCATTTGAAGTAGTCGTCGCTGTTGGGGTTGTTCCAAATGTCAGGATTCTAATGACAGAGAAATGTAATCAAAAGAGCATCACTATATGTTAGGTAACTGAAAATGAGATACCAACCGGTATGTATTAAAATCAAACATTTCAACACTATTCACAAAATTTACAAGAGAACTCGACCAACTCATTTAATTAATTGAAGCAACGTTTTTTATGCATTAATAGGTATTAAGTTTAATTGTTGCATTAGTGCATGCAGTATATATACGTATCGTGTAAGTCCTTCTATATATATATATAAAATTTAGAAGAAGGCAAATTTTAGGCATCATAAGGAATGATGTTGAAGAATGGAGGAAGAGAGCTTGTTAAAATGAGAAAAAAGAGTAGGTAGAAAAGTAGGTAGAAACGCCAAATAATGAACATTAACAGCGTCAATGAAGTCTTCACCATGGCAGTCGAGGTAGAGACTCTGATACCTTCGGGTCCAAGCGTCGTCAGTAAAGGTCGTGTTATTGTTTTTCATGTGTGTACATATAATTAATGCATGTTATATTCTAAAAGAAATTAAAGAAAACAATATCTGACCGTGGACATCTCTGGCGAGTAGGATATCTGCATGGAATCACCTGCATTTTCATCTTCGACGTTCTTGGCAACCTTCTTCGGATTCGGTAGGGAGATTATATGGATGGAACCACCTTCATCTCTGTCCTCATGGCCGTTTAGGCCGCCGGTCTCCTCCAAAACTGTTTGATGAATCGATATCTCAATGTCACTGAAATCCTTAAACATTCTGATCAACGCAAACTTGGTGAGCAGCGTGGAGAAAGCCAGCAACATCAAGCAACAAGTTATCCATCTCCTGGTGTGCTTGCCCGGTGCTTTTCGACGACCTAATGGCGGGCTTTTGACGGGCAAGGTGGTTTGGTCGAGTTCTTCCAAGGTGTACTCACAAAACCGCCTCCGCGTTATGAATCCAAAGAGCTCGTGGGTGGAAGAGGGGTCTGTCAAACCGGTCGTAGCCATGGAAAAAGGGTGGGCATGTAGGGAAAGTTTCTTCTGTATTGTTGTTGGGAGAGCGGAATGTGAGGCGAGGTAGACGAAATGTGTTTGATATTTTGGCATTTGAAGCTGTGTACGTATTAATAGTACCAACTGGTTGTTTTAGAACGGATGTATTTAGAAAGTTTAACTAATTAATTGTGTGCAAGGATATTGGGTTTTTGTTGCGGGAGTTTTAAGACAAATATAGACATCTTGTCTTCTACCGCTCTCTTAGCTTAATTCTCAATGCAGTTTTTGAGGACTTGAAACCAGTTTTTAGGAGGTTAAGTGCAAAAAAACGTTGTGAAAACAACCTCTGTAATATTCTGCATGACTCTACTTGAAGAACTTCTCTACAAAAGACTACAATAATGCCGAATAAACTCTATTTTGAGATTCATACATCAATGATGTAGTTTTTTTTTTTTTTAAACAAAAAAATTAATCATTTGACAATACAAAAGTTTAAATCTTTAATTTTGACTTAAAATCAAAGTTTTTAAATTAATAAATACTAATTTAGTTAAATTTTTATTGGTATGCCAATAATGTAATTAATGTAGAATAATAAATTTATAATTATAGTGTGTTATTTTATAAGTAGATGTATAGAACATTACAGGTAAGTTGTTGAATAAAAAAATTCTATTATTTCATAATACCTTATTATTATAAATTTATAATACTACGTGTGTTTTTGTAATAACTATATTATTTTCCATAAAAAAATGTTATAAACCACACAAAATCCTCCCCTTTTTTGGGTTTGTACTTTGTTCTCTAATGGCAGTCAATATATGAGGAACAGGCCTTAAAACGAAAGCAATCAGGGGAAAAGCCCAACTGAAATGTGGGCCGATAAATGCTAACAAAATTAAATTGGGTAACGCTGCTAACCCAAGAGAGACCACAAGCCCATCTGAAAACTCTACTCCGACCATATAAATCGCAGAAATCGAAAAAAGCCCTAATTAGGGTTTTAGGTCTCTCTTACAAGCCGCAGAAGGTAGAGCAGGAAGTTCGCCTCCGGATCGAAAATGGTGAAGGGACGTCAAGGAGAGAGAGTCAGGTAGTTTGATCTCTTCTTTTTCCTAATTTCAATACCCAACTCTTCAATTTTCTCGTTTCCATAGCTGTTCTAATCGTCTTCTTCTTTTCCTTCATTTGCAGACTCTATGTAAGAGGAACCATCCTCGGATACAAAAGGTAATTACGTTATACATGTCCGATTTGCCGTATACTTGTTGTTCTGTTGTTATTTTTTGTGATGTTTGTAGTACATTTGAGTGACTGGGAAGTAAGAAAATGATTAAAATTGAAAATTTTGATCCCATGTTTGAATATAGAGGTGCTGGTTTGATTTAGATTAGTAGTATATGCATTACTATTTTATGCTCAAGTGGGTTTCTAGTTTGTGTTCGGTTGCTCAGAAAAAATGTGGAAAAGAAAATTAAAGTTCACTTTTATGTTAAACTTTGAAGTTAGTTACGTGCTCTGGTTTATCTTATGAATAATGAAGTCTTAAGTGTTAATAATGGTGCCTTTGGTGCATAAAATGAGGCAACTAATTCCAACTATTGTTTGAATGTGAATCGATATGGGATTTATTGGAAAACTTAGTTCTACTTATGTGTTGTCCGGATGAGTTTATTTCTTCTACCAAAGTCAATTGCTTTTTGAACATAACAGAGGATGTGGGCTGGTTTAGAAGTTTTATCAAATGTTATAATCTTGAATTGCCAGGAAGAATGTGGAATTATAGTGTTTGAGTTTTTATTTTGTGATCATTACTCATGCGTCAATGTGTGGTTAGGTCGAAATCAAACCAGTACCCAAACACATCATTGATTCAGATTGAGGGAGTCAACACCAAGGAGGAGGTAGCTTGGTATGGTGGTAAGAAGATGGCCTATATCTACAAGGCTAAGGTGAAGAAGAATGGTTCTCACTACCGTTGCATTTGGGGCAAGGTAACAAGGCCTCATGGTAACAGTGGTGTTGTTCGTGCCAAATTCAAGTCAAATCTACCTCCCAAATCTATGGTATGTCATTTTTGGGATTGATTGGAATGGATTTTGTTACATTTGTTTTCCCTTCTGATCCATTAAGCTTCTTTTGTTCCTTTGTAGGGAGCAAGAGTAAGAGTCTTCATGTATCCCAGCAACATATGAAGGTAATTATTTGTCCCAGTGGGTCATAATTTTAATAATTATTTCGCAAATTTGTTGTTAATCCCATATTCTTATGATTGTTGTGAATGTTTGTTTACCGATTTCTGAATTCCTTTTTCACACTTTCTCCTTGCAGCTCCCAGATATATTTGATTAATGGCTCAGAAGGATCTTCTGTCTACTTGTTTCTATGAGCTTAGTTGGACTGTATTTTTGTGTGTTCCGGCACTATTTTCTCCATATGGAACTATGTCACTTTTTGCTAAATTCAATCAGGGATTTTTCAATCCATTTGTTACTCATTTCGAAGCTTTGAGAATCATAAACCAGTGATGGTGTAGCTTGATGCTTGATTCTTTCATTTTTCACGTTCATTGTCATCAGCATCAACAACTCTCGACCGTCCATCTCCTATATCCTGTTCAGATATTGTTATGTCATGCAATGAAAGATATAAACTTCTATGACTGGCACCTTGTCATGCTGATTACTTACCTTTATGCTATAGTAGTCTGAATGATGAACTAGGCCTCTCTTTTAAGGAGCCATCACATCATGTTTGAAGAATCGGTTGCATAATCCATGCTTGAAATCTTCTGATAATGAGAAATGAAGGAAAAGGGACTTTGTTTCACATGGTGTGTTTCCTTCATGCTAAGATAATGAAAACATAAGCAAAGGTGCACCGACAGGTCATGATCATGTGAGTGGTCTGACCCTCCAAAGCTTATGCAACGCCGGCACTTTGGTGTGTCGGTTTAAGCTTTGAATAGGAACCGCAACTCACGAGTTAAACTGTGTCTTGAAGAAATTGACGAAGCATTGTAAATGGCACAATAAAGGCATTCGATTTACCCAATGGGTGGCAGATTGATTAGAATGCTCGCTTCTTGTGTTCATTTTCGGGGAAACGTCCAGAGTTTCTTTATGAATTCTTCAATG